ATTTTCAAAAACAGTACTTGAAAATTGCTTCACAAACATCCTCTTTCTGAGAATTTATATTTATCACTCAATGGATAATCCATCTTCACATTCTGCTCATTGTATATTTTGGAAAGAATAAAAAGAAACAGTATGATTCTTGAAACAGGAAAAATCCCATAAAAAGATAATGATTCATTTTCATACAGTCTTCCACTAAAGCAAGCTCTTTAAGAAATAAAACACTTTGATTAAAAGAACTTCCTTGAGTTGCTGAAACTGAAGGAGGTAAGAAATTTGTACATTTCACCAAATTCTGTGGGATCTTTAGATCTAGGAGAGGTAAACTGAGGAGACTAGGAGTCATACTGTTAGCACCCGTCTCTTCCAGATTTCCTGCACTGCCATATCCTTGAAAGATTAGGGTTCTATTTCCATTTTTAATTAAGAAAAAAGTGTTTATTTCCCTGACAGTTCTTAATATCTTTGAGGTAGGATGAGTCTGCCTCTAATTCTACCATTTGACTCCTCGGTGCCACACGACCTGCAGCTTTTTGCTTCCCACACCTATCAGAGCAGCCCTGATGCCAGCCATGATCCTATAAGTTTTAAACCTCAAATCACCTCTGCCAACAACCTTACAAATGACATTCTTTCTCAGCTAACCACCATTTCTCTTTAGGACTGAGTTTCTACTGCTGCTGTAGTCTGAATGTGTCCCTTCAAAATTAAGTTGAAACTTAATCCCCAGTGGATGGACTTTAGGAGTTGACTAATGCGATTAGAACATTGTGAAAGAGTCTTCACCCAACGTTTGTCCCTTTTGCCTTTCCATCCCATCTACTCTTGGAGGATACAGTGTTCAAGATACATTTTGGGAGGAGAGAGCAGTCACCACTAGACGCCAAATATGTCATGTGATGGTCATTAACTCCAGGCCTCTCAGAAGTGTGAGAGAGAAATAGATGTCTATCCCTCATTACAACCCAGTCTCAAGTACTTTTGTTAAAGCATCACTAATGGACTGACACATTCTACTCAGAGAAGTCCTTTCTGCAGTTGGTGACCCCAAGTGCCATGCCCTGAGTTCCTCCTAGAGAACCCCAGGGCCCAGCAAGCCTCACTGGAGTGAGCTGAAGGACAATGCCACAGCCGTACCATGTGGCTTTCCTGTGACAGATTGGTGATTCTGTGCTGGACCAGTTCACCATTTGAGAGAAAAGTCTTAGCATATATTTACATGTATTGTTGCCCTAATAGAAGATGACAAGAAAATCGGATTCTTTTGGGGTTGCAAAGAGACAAAAGCCTTCAACATTAACTGAGATGGGAAAATTATTAGTTTTGTAGATGTAATGATGCAGATGAGGGGAAGTATTCCTGGAACAGGAAGACATTGTGAGCCGTGGAAAACAATTTATTAATAAAAGAATATCTTTTAAAGTATTATTTAAATCTATCATTTTGGTAGCAATGATCTGAAGAATCCTATAATTTCAAACCTAGAATAAGCTCAAGGATCAGGCAATGAAACAGCCTCACCTTACAGAGGAGACAACAAAACTCATTTAAATCATCCACGATCATTCAAGTCAGTTTTTCTGTCCAGAGACAAAGGAGCCACCCAGGTCTTTGGACACAGGGAGGAGTTTTGCTGCTACCACATATTACTTGATGAATTTTAATTTTACAGTATCACATATAGCCCTTCTATTTATCCTACACATATTTTATTCTCACAAAACTTGTGTACTCTACCACCTTTGTCCATCTACTTTAAACAACCTCTTCTAAAACAGAAATCTGAGTTGATACTCTCCTCTCCCACAGCCCTGATGAATGAGGACCAAATCCTCCCATCTGCTTGTCACAGCTATACTTAGGACTTTAATTATGTTATTTAATTAAATATTATGAAGGGCCAGGGATTTAGCTCAGTGGTTCTGCCGCCTGCCTCGCAAGCACGAGGACCTGAGTTCGATCTCCAGTACCAAAAAAAAGAACAAAACAAAACAAAAACCTTAAATATTATAAATATTATGTAAAATGTAAAATAGTGAAGTATTCATGACAAAAGAGGACTTTTCCTTTTCCTGTAAAAAATAAATTCACTGTTTCAGGAAGACTGGCCATAAAGAGGAACAGAAATTGCTACAAATGAGTTGTATATTGCTTTGCAATCCATTGGAGATTTATAAAACCTTATAGAAGAAATCCATCTTCAAATCACTGCCTAGGTGGAAAATTCCTGTTCCCCTATCAGAAGAACCTTGTAATCATGGAAAGGGTTAGCAGGGGCATAGTTTACGCTGTCCGGTGACTCAGATGTCAAGTCAGCAGACCAATGGCCAAAGCAGCAATAAGGAAGCAAAAGAAGCACATTTTTGTCTTGTGTATATATAAGCCATATGTGCCTCAAAAGTGTGCAGTTAAACTCAGAAATCTGTACAGATGTTATTTTCATGATTCCCTGACTTATTCAATTTTTATTCAATCTGTACTGATGATGCAGAACAAAAAGTTTTCAATGCTATAGGTCAGTATTTTGTTGGCTCTCTGATATGTTCTTCCTGCTTGCACAACTGATCGAAGACCTCTAAAAACAAACTTTTAACATGGGCTTCTAAATTAACACAAAAGGAAAAATGTAGCTGGACAGAGTTTAAAATACTATGCAAATTAGTATTTTTAAAGTCATGCCTGTGAAACTGCAATTTACAGATTGGCAGGTCAAGACTGTAAAAATCATTCCAGTGTACTTATTTTGTACCCATGGTTGATTGAGGCTATGGTGGATATTTTATGAGTTTTCTGTACATCAAAGGGGAAACTAGAGGGCCTGGAACAGCCTGAAGGTAAAGCAGCCCTGCTCATCCTCCTGGGACCCCACAGTCAGTTAATGTTCGTCAGTGGTTATCTCCTGCATAGGGCTATGCAAAGTGCCCTGGTTCAAACATTGATCAAGGCAAGGATAACATCCTGGTTTAGGCTGCAAAGGATCTCAGTGCTAAAATCCTAAAATGTATGAAAGGAGCTAACAAATGCAGCTGTGTCTGTCAATCCTCAGTGTGTCAGGCTGATGTTTATCTGAAGGGGAAGTCACTCTTCACACAGGCCACTGGGAGGACAGGCCCAGCCCAAGGAGGAGGCTGCTCTACTTCACATTAGACCACAGGGTATAGGAGGATGTTGGGACACAGAGTCTTCAAGAGGAAATATTACTAGTACTGAATAATTTGCAGTGGATTTGCAAATTAGCCACCAGTGTAACTCAAAATATATAAACTATACCCCAGTTTTATTCAATTTAGACAATCTGCCCACACAACATATTTAAAATTTTCATAGGATTTCATCAGTTCCACAAGTCTATATCCAAGCAATCTTCATATTCCACCTAGATGACTCTCATAACTGCTGAGTTCCTTACCCTAGCCTCTCTCCAGTCAAATACATCATCTCCCACAACTACACCCAAACATGTGCTCAGAGAGAACTAATCTACATGCTCAGTATTTTGTAAAATTTTTATTTTGGAGCATGATCTTGCTAAATTTCCCAGGCAGGCCTTGAACTTGCAATCTTTCTGCCTCAGCTTCTGCAGTAGTTAAGATCACAGACTTGTGCCACCAGGCCTGTCTAAGTGCTATCTTTTATCTGTAGCTTCCTGTGAGCCTTCCATATACTTTCCATTTTCCAGCTCTGTACTCCCGTAGCATTTAATTCCCACCTCCATTAAGTACTTTTCCCAATGATCACAGCCTATTCCATCTCCTACATGCTGTCAGGCTCTTCACTGCATGCATATTGTAGCCTTCATTAGGTTCCAGCACCTAGCACTGACTGGATCTTAGCACATGAGCAATATAGTGATCTTAACAACTGAAATTATAGCATTAGAATTCTGTGTCTCCAGGAAAGACTGATTTCCTTTGATGCAGCAGGGACTGGGCTAGGTAACAGAAGCATTTATGTAATCTATTACTAAAACAACCCTGAGAAGGAGGCATTGCTTTCTCATTTTATCCTGAGATTCAAAACTGTTCAAATATTTTTCATAAGTTCTCACTTCTAATTAGTGGTAGAACACGGCTTAAACCAGGTGTTTCTAAACCCAAACTCAATGTCCTTTCCAGTAACAACTTACAAATTCAAACTTCATGATACTCTTGTTTTAAAATATATATTTTCAGTTTTATATTCCACATATAAATAGGCAAAGTCTAGTGGCATAAAAATATTTAAATCTTTAATTTTGCAAAGAAATGCTTAATACTAACACTTGGCTACATTATTTGCAAACAATATTAAATCCTTCTAAAATATTTCCTAGTAATATATCCTAATTTTCAAGTAAATATTTCAGTCTAGATTTGACCTACAATAGGCAAAATCTTAATGAAGGATTCATTTATCTACCTTTAGGACAAAGAGTGGTGAGTTTGAGAAATAGTTAAAGCTGTTTTCTGGAAATGTTTTGGGCTTGTAACTTCAAAGAAAATATGAATCCCACATTTTGAAAAATATAATGCTGATGCTCTACCAAAGGCATTAAGGATGCAGTAAAAAACCTCAACTTATATCTGCGGATACATTTAGAATTATTTGTTCTTTTAACAAAAAAATGTTTTCATTTTTGCTATTTGGCTCTGCCTATGCAGGCCTGTATGATGGCACCATTTATTTTATTACTTTACATCAGATTTTATGGCTTGGATTTCTTCAGAACAAAAATGAACGGGGTACACCTAGGCTCTTCTAATTAAGATGCACTACCTATTAACAGAAGGCAGAGATATTTGCATTGATAAAGGCAGTGGATGTAGAAAAGAGCAAAAAGGAGGATTTCAGTCCCTGGAGAATCCTTCGTTTAATGTTAAACTTCTTCCACAAATAACAATTACTGAAGGCTCTGCAAAGACTTCTCCAGGAAATCGAGTTCCACCCACACGAAATGCCCTTCAGCACTTTCATTTTTTTCCAAGAAGTGTTAGAATCAGGAGTAACATTTTCATACTTACTTTTTCAGTTTTTGTCTAATCCCTAAATCTTTAATTTCATTTTGAAGATCCTCAAAGCTCTCAACAGAATTTAGATTACAGAAAACTCTGAAGTCAACATAGGGCGGGATCCCGTGGTCTCGACCCCTTTGAATGTTGGTGGCAGCTAAATCCAGGGCCACGGCGTGGGTGGTAGAGAACAACTTCTCTGTCAGCGCAAGGTTGACAAGCTGTGATGGAACCCGACATTTAGCAGCCACACCAAAGAGCCCCCGCAAGAGCGGATCGATCCCACCCTCCTCGATTATTCTGGAAGGTGAAAAGAAAGTTTTGTGGAGGGGGAGGTGGCCTTTGGGGATTTCACCAAAGGTGTCGTTCAATCGATAAAGAACAGGATTGATTAACGTGTGGCCAAACCGAAAGGCTGCCTTGGCGAAGGAGTTGATGATGCCTGCGTTCACGCTGGGGTCCTAGCCCCGGTATTTCCCCAGCATCTTCATGCCAGGCTCCCCCAGGACCTTGGGCAGCCAGTGACTATAGGTGATTTGCTTCAGCTCAGCGCCCACGATCTTCCTGGCCTCCTGGTAAAGTGTGTCTCCATCCCAGTGGGGGTTCAGGGCCGACAGCCCCACAGCCACCCTGTTGTGTTCGCGGAACCACAGGGTGTGCATGGCCGTCAGAGCCAGCTGCTGGCTGGCCCGGTGGTCCCCAGCCAGGAAACAGGGGCTGCGGCTGTCTCGCCCCTGCCCTGTGCACAGGGTGGAGGGGCCTGCGGAGAAGGGCAGTAGGTGCTTTCCAGAAGAGGACCAAAGCAAGCCCGTCTTCAGCAGTCCGCCTTGTGGTCTCTGAGAATCTAGGAGTGCTGCTCTGAGCTCCCGTACACGTTGGAAGCATCAATGTTAGCTGTGGGCTGGTTGATCTGCTCTCGTGCATGGACCGAATTCATCATCAAGGATGTGGTGCCGCTGCCACACACGGGACTGGAGCGTACAAAGGACATGCAGCTCGCATGCGTGCCCCGGAGGTCTCCATGGGGGATTGCCATGGGGAGGCAAGGAGGGTCGTTCCTGCAGGCCGAGCTGCACGGCTGCCCGCCTGAGAAGCTGGCGGTGCTCAGCGTCCACACCGCGTGGGCCAGGTCGTGGGCTAAAAACTGGCCCCACTGCATGAACATGTGAGTGTACCCGGGGTCGGGGGTGACGGTAAAAACGCCCGGCCCCGCGTGGCGAGTCTAGGCCATTCTCATAGGCCGGCGGCAGCAGGCGCAGGAAGGCCGTCAGGGACGCGCCCCAAGTCGGCCGCTGCAGGTTGTTGCACGTTCCGTCGTGGGTCAGGTACCTCCGGTGGAAGCACAGGTCCGAGCAGTTGGGCTGATGCCTGCATGCTGTGCACCGGGATAGGTTGGAGATGTTGCCCCGTTGGCTCGAGGACACCGGGTCATCGTAGCGGAATTCTGAAACCCAAAACATCCATAGAAATGAGGAAAGGGAGGGGAAGCGGGAGCAGAGAACTCCAGCTGCTTGGTGCTCTGGGAACCTCCCACCACGACTGCCTTTCTCACTTGCAACAAGATTTCATTAGAACCCAAAGAAATGTCCTAATACAAAGTTGTGTATATATATCCAAAAGTTGTAAAAGATATATCCAAAAATTAGGGCAGTTAAGTCAGTCATGCCTGTTCTTCACACAATGCCTGTGAAAATCAACCAAATGAGAGGGCAAGGAGTGCCAGCTCTTGTCTAGTACTGACTGCAAATCCATTATAATGCTGGTAAGGATTTGTTACTATTCACCGCTGCATCATTTTTATTTCCAACTTAGTGGTCTTTCTTCTAGCTTTTGTGCTTTTAGAGGACAAGGTCAAAGGCATGTCAATGTGGGTGATGTGAAAACACATGTGATATTTGACAAGGAAGAATTAAGCCCAAACTTCCTAAACGACTAGAGCTGTGAAATGAAACACCTCACCTTGAGCCCAGCCCGTGCACGAGGCAACAGGAATATTGTATGCACTTTGGAACTATACCTCTTAAAGTCTTAAAATTACAGCTTATCCCAAATCTAAAAGACTGTTCACTAAGTCGTGCTTACAAAGTTTTTCTGTCCTAATTAGTCTCAGAAATTGACTAAAGATACCAGACTATTTGCACTGTACTGTTAGCCAGTCCCTGGCTAGGACCTGGGTTACCTTGGTCTTGGGTAGAGACAAGAATCTTTCTGCATAGGAGGATATAGATATCAAGTTCACTTCAAGTGTAAGGTGTTCCTAAACTTTTGAGGTACAAAGTCCTTCATTTTACAAATAATGAGAGGTAAAATAGAATAGCATTTTCTCCCTTGGGAAAATTTGTAAAAGTTCTTAAATACTTGAGATAAGAAGATATATTCAGTTTGACAATGAACATGGGATGTAGTTTTCAGCAAAGCCAAGCTTTGTATGTATTTATTGTTTCTAGTTTTCTAGCTATGAATTTAGACTGTTATTCCCCCAAATTATTTCTTCTTCTAGTGGAAATTGGGGAGTTCAAAACTAACATGGCCAAAAAAAGCTGTGGACCTGACTTTTATCTTCAGTCAGGATAGAAGTAAAATTGAGTTTTTGGAAGACTCACCAAGCATAGATAGCTAACTCACATCTGATACAATTTGCAAAGTAGCCATAAGTTTAACTAACATGCTAATATGGGCTGGTAGGAAAATTTTATTGGCTATGTCAGTTGGGGAAGCTATGAAATCCCAAAACACTGTGACAGAAGAGGGACAGTCAAGCGTACTTAGGGGTGATGGTTCAGAGTATCTAAAGTTGAGCCAAGCACCCAAGTGGGCTGCCTTGCCTCTGTTCATTTTCTGAAGGAAAAAGAAAAGATGAGCCTATGAAAGATGCTGTTACACTCATAGTACAAATAAAGTACAGCAAAGTGTCCTATTTGTGAATTTCATTATACAAAGAAACTCTTAGAAAATCTGAAAGCTTTTATACCACCTTTTCGCTGTTTACTAAGTAGATGTCTGGTTTTGAAAAAAACTACTTGCGAACTTGAATACAATAAAAGAAAAAAATGGGAAAGAATGTAAATGTTATAGATAATGGAAGGAATTTCGAGTAAATTCACTGAGTGATTTGAATGATTGCAATAAGTACAAGAACATTTCCCTAGGACTAAAGTATTTCTCTATAGGATGTAGTAATGGCTTTTGGATTTGAAAAGTTCATATAGGTTGTATCCCCAAATTTGCTCCATATATATCTAACTGGCAAAAGCTGAGACAAATTCAAATACGTATCTATGATTCTTACTTTTGAATTACAGTTTCCATGAAAAATATTTTCATTTATTTAGTAAAAGTAATAAGCAAATTAATTTCTAAATCACACGATGTTCTGAAGGTGAAAAGTTTAATGTTCCCTGCTGAAGCAAGGGCAAAAGGGCTCTCAGCGACCTCTGGGTCCCAGGTCAACAGTGAGCAAATATTTCACGTGCTCCTGGATCAGCTGCTGCAGGTGCTCAAAACTGTCTCCTGCTCTTGCTCTCTGCATGGTAAATGGGTCACTAGGGTAATGAAATTGAGCCAGAAGATTACTGGGAGTGTAAGGTTTTTCTGCAAATGATAAAAGACAAGGCAAAACTATAGAATCCCACCCCAAAAAAACTTAGGTATATGGTGCTTTTATGAGACATTTTCCAAAAGTTAAAGACTAAAAGATCCATCGCTAGAAAAAAAGAAGCTGTGCATCTTTTTGATTTAAAAAATTGAATTCTAAATTTTGGTCATAGCATTAATCTCAAGTAATTCATCTTTAATGAGTTGATGATTTAAACAACAGTTCTTGACAAAAAGTAAAATCTGTGGTGGAGGGATAAATTCAGGGAGTCCATGTGTGGGTTCTAGGTAGCCTAGTGAACCATTTAAAATAGTGTTCAGCCCTCTCAGGTGGTGTATCCTAGTGAGGAATGCCTGTCTTCTCTTTTGCCAAATGTGAGTGTGGGGATTTCCCTCTCATCTTTAGAATGCTGCTTGGATATAGCATTCGCTGCACAGTCTCCCTAATAGCTCTGAGCAGTTATCATTCCACCTTCTTTATTACTTCTGTATCTTTTCATACATCTGTTATGTATGCACCAAGACGACCCTAAATTACTGAAATATTGTCTCATCTATAAAGAAATAACTGGGATTGGGATAAAATAATGTGGTTTGGATCTTAAGTGTGTCCTAAAAGCTCATGGATTTTGGTCTTGAGACTATGGCACTGCTGAGGGCTGGTAAAAATTTTAAGAGGTAGGGCCTAATGGGAAGAAGTTAGTGCTTTAGAGGAGTGCTCTTGAAGGGGCTTTTTGGACACCCACCCTTCCTCTGTCTCTGTCCTTTCCTGGCCTCTGTGATATAGGCAGCTTTACTCTGGAACACACTCATTCACTCATGTCATGATGTTCAGCCCAAAGTGATGGGTCCAAGCGATGATGAACTAAAACATTTGATATCTTGAGCCAAAATGATCTTTTCTTTTCAAATGTTTTTAGCACATGTATTTTATCATAACAACAGGAATCTGACTAACATAATGTCCTACTCATCTTTGTATCCCCAGTATTAACTGGACTGACTGGCACATAAAACTGATTCATGCACATTTGTAGAACTGAAATAAGTAAGTTAAAAAGAAAATTTAAGTCATTGGTAAAAGGAAGCAAACTTTTTTCAGACATTTAGGTCAAGTGATGTACATTTTACTTTCTTCTTGAATCTTAATAACTTTAATCCTAGAAAAATAGTAACAATACTAATAGTTCACTTCTATTAAATGCTTTCTGTATGCCAGGTGGTGTTGCAGCACTTTATCTATCTCTCAAGCATACCACAAAGCAGATCCTATTCTATCCCAATTTTACAAGCAAGAAGCCTGAGATACAAAGGACACTTGCCCAAGGTCACCCAGACTGTAAAGATAATATGGGGAATCACAATACGAATATTGATATCATATAGTTCTAGAATACAAGGCTTTGCTCATCAATCCATATTGTTTGTGGATGTGTAAGAAGCTGAGTTATAACTAATCAAGGCATTTTAAGTTGTCCTTTGTTCTACTTTTTTTAAATTACTGTACATTATTGATGAGGATAAGGGATTTCATTCTGGAAGACATGTACATGAAAAGAATATACTTTGTTTCCAACCGTCTCCCCATTGTTGTCTCTTTTTGGTCAACAACAGCAAACACTGGATGTGTACGTGGCTATGGAAACAATGTTCATCTTGTTTTAAGACATTCAAGTCTTACAACCATAAAGTCATGGGATTGGAAGGTAGCAGTCTCAAATCATTTCAATTTAAGTTGAAGTAAAATGCCACATATCCTAAACTAACTTTTGACCATGGATTGCCAGTTTCTGGTGTTCATCTTGACAATCATTGTCAATATCAAGACTATTGGAATGCGGGTTTGACACTATTTGGAAGAGCTAACATACCAGAGCCTATATTGCCTGGTGTCTTGTGTCAGACTATGTAGCATGGGTATGTGGCATCAGTAAGTGCCATTTAGACCCTGTGGCAACAACTTTCCTTCACTTTGAAGTTGAACTAAAAATGACTGGTAGTCCAGGAAAGAACTACAGATAATTTTTGGAAATCTTATACTGCTCCTGTTGTGGTTTCACAGAGATTATAAAAACTAAATAAAACAGGAAAAAACATAATTTTTTTCAAAATTGCACAATAAAATGTCTTCTTACTGTGAAAACAAATGTCTGCATGTGGGGTCACCTGCACTGTCAATCCCCTGAACAACAGCAAGAACTAATGATTCAGCACAGTCATCACCAGCTTGTCCACCCTGTATTGCTCTGAAAATCAATTCCATGATTTAAAAGAATCACAATTTTAAAGACCATGAAGTTAAGAATTATATGTATAGACAGAATTACATTTTTTAATGAAAGCTTTAAAGCCAATAAAAATGCTGCACAATATCCCTATGACGATGGTCACTGCAGAGTAGGTAGTTATACTGAGAAAAAGCTTTCACTAACAAAAAAAATGTTATTTATTTGGATATTTAAAGAATTCCAAAATGTATCAAGCTATGTGAAATGTTTCCTTTGTCACAATACTGAATCAAATGGGATCCATATTCGCCCATAATTTGTCTTGGAGAGGACATGCAATACCTATCTCTCCAGCCACCTTGCTTTAATGTTAAACATTAAAACAAAGTAATTATTATCACATCCCTATATAGGTTCCTTAAAGCAAGAACTGAACTCTCAGGAAGATTTCAATGAAAAACAGTCCATGTTGCCTCTATAACTCTCCAACGGGTGAAAATTTTACAACATGTGAAAGATTGTACAAAAATCAAACACTTAACAGCTGATTAACTTCAGCATATTGGATCTTCTCTAGATGATGTTTGCATATTAATCTTAAAGCAACAAATATGAAATAAAAGTAATTATGAATGACTAAGGCTCACATGAAGGAAATGAGCAAATCTGTAATATTTATTTCAGTTTTTATATACTAAGCCTAACAGTAAAATTTATATGATCCAGACAAATAAAATAATAGCTTCTAGCACTGTTAAATATTGAGAGCAGGAGTAATATAGCTTTGAAAAAGGGGAAGGGGAAGTGAGAGGGGTAGGGGAAAGGAAAGAAGGGAATGGAATTAACATGAGAAAATGATAAAATGGAAACAAAGTCTTTGTAAATAGAAAGGCCTGGAGGGGTTGAAGGGAGGGCAGGGGAATGGGGGAAAATAAGATTCAAGATATATTATGTAAAGGTACAACTCTCCAGTGATGAATGTCATTATATTGCATATCTCAAATGCACCAAAATTTAATAAAAAACTAAGTTTGAAAATGATACTATTATGGGAAATTTAAAAAATGAAACACTTAAATAGTAATAGGAAGTTATGTGTTCTACATGTTAACAAAAATAATCAACAATAAAAAAGAACTAGCAATAAAAAAAAACTAATCAAGCCTAAGCCAAATTTGTACCACAGCATAGAATATGACTCTTCGAAACATGTCTGTCTGTCTATCTATCTGTCTATCTATCTGTGTTATACCTATTTGTGTTTATATACTTTGACATTAATGAGTATGGGTAGCATTCTACATATTAATTTAAGAAAATTTCTTTATATTTTGACATATATAAATTGCATTCATTCATCATCTTTAAAAGACTAACATAAAACAATTTAAAAATTAACTACCAATGATACAGAAATATTTCATGGAGAGACATTAAAATCCAGGATTCCAAAGAAAGCTCCTTCTGGTGAAGTTGATAGCATCCAGTAGTTATGAGTAGGTGGCTGCACTGTCAATTTGTTTCTGACTTTATTTAAGGTAACTACAATATTGTTGCCCTGGAAGGTTAGTGTTGGCTTTCCTAAGTCCAAAATGCACACTTGATTGGGCATATAGTATATAAATTAATTTTAAAAGAAGACAAAATTGATTATTTCAACTACTATAGGAAACTAACAATTTCCTTTCAAAAGCTGAGCATGAAAAAAAAAAGCTAATAGATAATTACAGAATATGTTACAATATTTGTAAATGTTAAATTTAACACAATACTCTAAGTCATACAAAGAAGTTTTAAAACACACTAGGAGCAAAGTATATATGGTCTAGTTATGAAAGAAAGGAAACCCTGACCATTAATAAAGATATACGCTATATTGAAAATTACTTAGAACCTCAAAAATAAAACGTAAAATGTCAATGTACTGCCATTTTTGCTTATTCTAGCAAAAGTTAAAACTTCATTTTGATAGAATTGTAAACAAAAAAATCTTGGGGCAAGTTGCTGACACTATAGTCTTGATATCTTTATTTTGGAGATTTTATTAAAGACTTTTGCTTGTTTTTATTTAGTAAAATCAGAGATGCACACACCTCTCATACAGCAATATCACTTCTATACATGTATCCAGAGAAATCATAGTCCAAATTCATAAAGGTTCATATGAGAATGTTCAGTCTAACTTTATGTGATTGCAACTGGAGAAAATAGGTTGTAAAGCAGTGGAGGTGTGGGTGAAAAGAAGGTAGGAGGTGTACAATGTGGAAGTTCATGTACCAGATAGAACTTACTGGAGGTCTCTGGGGGTGACTCTCAAAAAGAATAGAAAAACAGAAAACAAAAATATAGATCATTATAATTGATTGAATCAAAATATGAAATAGGTGCGTTATGTACAAATAGATGGAAGAAGTAAAGTGTGAACAGAAGTCAATGAGCGAATTAAGTAATTGATACAATCATGGTGATTATTAAAAAATATTTTTAATGTAGCTACATGAATGTGGTTGTTGTGTGTTTAATAAAAAGTAGAATCAGGTCTACTATTTAAAGAAAAAGTAAAAGACTATTACAAAGAAAAGTAAAATGCTTTTGGAGGGTGTGGAGAAAAAGGGACACTTGTACAACATTGGTGGGGATGTAAATGACTACAGCCATTGTGGAGAACTGTTTGGAGGTTTCCAACCTCCACGTTAAATATAGCACTACCGTTTCATCAAACAACCCCATTTCTGGGCATATAGCCAAAGGATATGACGCCAGCATACCTAGGAGATGCATGAACATCCATATTCATTGCAGTATTATTCACAATGGCTAAGAAATGGTATCAGATGAATGGAAATAGAAAATGTGGAATATGTACACACCATGGAGTAGTAGTCAGCTATAAAGAAGAATGAAATTCTGACATTTGCAAAAAAATGAATTCACATTACTTTATATGAAGTAAACAGAAAGATAAGCACCAGCACATGTTCTCTCACCTGTGGAAGCTAAAAAAAGTACACCTGCAAGTAAAATAGTGATTACTAAAGACTGGAAAGAATAGCAGATTTGATCAGTACCTGTTATTTGCATTTATGAAAATCTTACCCTGAATTCCATCCATCTGTACAATTAATAAATGTTAATAAAAATAATTAATGTACAATCAAAATTGGAAGCAAGAAAAGCTGTGTGCGAACCCTGAGTAATGACTCAGGATATAGCAGTAGTGGATGACAAAACTCGGAAGGCTATTCACTGGGGCAGACAGAATATGGGAAGCAAGGTATAAATTTCAGGTCAGCATCATTTGACGTGTTAACTAAATTTTATTTGATTGTTAATTTCACTTTTATTCTATTTATAAAATATTCTTGCTGTTATAGTTGTATAAAAGTTAGAAGCATAAGAGATTTTACAACATTCCCATTCATCTTTTGCCTTAGCTGTAAAAGAGAAATAACAAGAGATGTTCAGCAGATATCAAATATATCATATAAAAAAAGGCATGGAAAGTCATTCCAAGACTACACGTCACAGTGTAAACATGAGGTGGCTTTTATGATTGCAGTGCTACTAAACCTACAGCTAATTTAAACCTTCACACAATCATCAAGTGACACTGGATTATCCTGTCATTTTAGTCAATCTAAATTGTTATTTCTTGGTATTCATAAAAAATCCACTAGTGTATAAAAGTGAAGAAGAGAAGGACAAAGTAACAAAAAAGATGGTATGATAAGTAAATATTCTTTGAAAAAAACCCCAAAGGCCATAAATAAAAGCATGAAACCATTATTTGTTCACTGATTCCTAAAAGTATATTAGATATGTAATATGTTCACATAAAAACACTCTTGGTGGCAATATTTTCTCTACTTTATTATTTTAATTATAATTTTGAAAAGTTTATGTGGTTTTAAAATAAAACCACATAGTTTTTATTATTCATTTGATTTCAGTGTTGTTTCATTTGGTTTGATACAAACTGCAACACTTTTACCATAAATATCTTCAGAACAACACTGGCTTTATCCAAAGCAAATTCAGTGTGTTGGGGACACATTAGAATCAATCAGTACTGCATTCACTGAGTCCCAAAACCTCTTCAGTTGATGGCATAAAAAGTGGAATGATCAGGAAAGTCTAAGTATATTCTCCATCTTTTTATGCAAAATTTTGCAGATACAGAGGAAGAATTAGCTCATATTTCTTTGTAAAGTCCTACATGTAATATAGAGAAGAAAAAGGACTATAAAGATATATAAAATAAATGCACATTTAAAATTCTGATGAACATCTACTCTCAATCCTATCCACAGTGTATAAGACTCCATCACCACAATGGACAGTAAAATCAAGTGATAAAAGCATGTCTTTACAAGAAAAGGGAATTTGGCCCTGTGGCCACTCATTGCTCTGTGTCCACCCATTAAAAGCTTGTTGCTCTGTGACTTGGGGACCAAACTCAGAGGAGGGATGCTAAGATAAAACAACTCTGCGCCTGCTGTGAGTCTCACTGTAAAATGCCAGACCTCCAAAAAAAGCTTTCTTCTCAATTATCAGCACGGTTTTTGAGTACTTTTTATCTTTTTCTGGAGAAAATCTAGCTAGATAATGTAACTATCATAACTAAATGGACCTCATCACACTCAACAAGAATGACCCTCTAACAAGAATTACCCTGACACTGACTCTATGGAGGTAAGCTAGGAAAACAGAAGCACCGGCTCCGAGCAGAAGCTGGAGTTCACGACGACTGCCTTTGTAAAGTCGCTTTACTTCAACAGCAATGCCACTTCGTGTCATTAAGAGTGCAAAACAGTTCACTGCTGCAGAGGTCACCCCACGATCTTTTCAGAATGGAACGGGAAAGGCATCATCCACTTTTTTAAAGTTATAGAGTTTAGATTATGACTTTTACTTCATTTTTGTTTCCCTTACAATTCATAAACTATCCCAATACTGCAATAGAAAATATCTAGAAATGCTACTTACTGAAATTAAAATTTAATACTGTGATTTTAAGATCATGTGGCTATCTCAGGATAGGTATGCTCTCTATAGATTTCACATATGAATAGAAAATCTAGTCAACATTGTTAAAGGTATTACAAAAGAAATGTGTATGTATGCTGGGTAGACGATGGTGTTCACAGATATAGCTCCTCATTTGTTGCATTGTCAGATTTTGGTGAGATAAACAAGACTGCCACATGTCTATTAATATATAATTAATTTATATCATATTCGGAGAAAGTTAAAAAATAGAGCAGAAGAGTAAATTAAAATTTCTCCATTATCAATTTCGTTTCATTAACACACTTGACTAAATATAATTAAATTTTAATACCTTAAAGTCCACTCTTTACTGTACAGAAAATTCAGTGGCCTAAAACAAATATTTTCTCTACACAATGACAAATACTAGGACTAAAATGTCAAATGATGAGAAAATCATTCATTCAGAATTTTTACAAATAACTGGTATCTACAAGAATTAAAGTAAATTAGTTGATGAATACCACCTAGGGCACAAGGTAAATAATAAATGTTAACTATTTTTAATTATATTATTGAGTTTAATAAAGTTATTAAATTAGCATTATAGAAATGTTCTCATTAACTTATAGTCAATTAACATAACCTTGAAACCTCATTCAATTTAGTTCTACAATAAATTATTGGACTTGAGAATATTGTTGAATATTATAGGTGAGAAGATGACTTAGAAAGCTTTTTTGGGGGGGTGGTATCTGGATTCAAACTCAGGACCCTGTGCTTACAAGGCAGGCAGTGGAACCACTGAGCTAAATCCCAGCCCCTGCTTAGAAAGTTTTAGCAAAAGCTTAAATTAGAAATGATGAGAAGACAAACTATGGAGAAGAATGTCCCTGTAAAAGAAGGCACGTGGAAAATACATTATCTTTGAGCCAGGCATTGTGGTGCACACCAGTACTCCCAGTACTCTGGGAGGCTGAGGCAGGATGATCACAAGTTCAAATGCAGCAACTTAGTGAGATTCTATCTCAAAACCAAAAGGGAGGACCTCTGAATTCAATGGGATAACATTAAATGGAAAGGAAAACATGGATTAAAAAAGATCTTTGGGAGGAAAACTGGGAAGATGAAATAGTTGGGGTAAAAGAGTGAGAGGAGCAGAACAAACCAACAGGGGCTCCTCAGCCTTCCTGCTGGCATGGATTATGTTGATATTCAAAGGATATAAGGTTTCCAAAGGAAAGAGGATGAAGGGCTCCTGATCAAACAATATGAAATGCCCACCAGACAATTAAATATTCAACTCAGAATTTCAGAAAAAAAAAGCAGCACTGCTTAGATTTAGATTTATTTCTTTAAATTGAGATCAATTTGGACATTATTTGCTCTCTAAGTTTTTCACTTAATAAATTGTTTCATCTTAGCATTTGTCACCTTGCCCACATATTGTTAAATGCATCACATTCTACCATATGAATATTCCGCAAACTGCTTCCCCATAACTATTATTCTATCAGAAACAGAAATCCTATGCCACCAAGGACTCTGGAGAGCTGCTAGCTCTATCTTTTTAAGATATGAGGAGTTTAGTTATAGTTATAGTAAGGAAATTATCTAAAGTTTCTAAGCTCAATAAGGTCTAACAGAATCTCACTACCCCACACTTCAAATGCTCAATATAAATGTATGTTCCCAGATTGAGCCATTTTCACAGCAAGCAAAGGGTCTATATTTTGCAGCAGCACTTAACAGCATGTCAATTTAGAATAGAGGTGTTAAAGTAAATTGTTCTTTGACAATTTTTTGTATAAAGTAAAACATGCAGCATTCAGATTCCAAATGTTATCTAGAAAAAGTGAAAGAAGTGTGCCGAGGCAGGTAAAATTTGCTAATATAAACTACACTGACAGCATCCTAAGCAAAAACGTCCTCAGTGAGTATCATATCAGCTTTACAGATTATCTGAATGCACTAAAACTATTTATAAATATATATTAAATCGAAGGGAAAAATAAGCTTCATGAACTATGAAGACTTTTTTTTCTTTTGCTGTAAAATCCCCACTCTAAATAGCAGCTAATAAAATTCCTATTTTATACGTAAATCCTATATTTTGTCCAGATCGTTAACATGCAGTTTTTAATTATTGGGGATTTTCTAAGGTGGAATAGAAACTCAAAACACACAATCCTCTCTGTATCACTTATGACTCAGCAAAATTTCAACATTCTGTGACTCAAGTGTGGAGCAATAAGACTGGAAAATCCTCTCCAATGTATGGACTTTTCCTTTTACTTTCTGTGATCTGGTGAATAAAAGGGTTTAAATCATAAGATATTTTCTGAATGTTATTTTATATTGTCATATGTTGCTCTCTTCTACTGATTTGAGTTATTCAAATGTATACTCTTATTCTTAATGCTTAATTTCAATTAACATTAAATCTAAGTCCTTACATTTTCCTTTTATATAAATATTTCTAATGTCATGAAATGTATTTGATAGGACATACATATATAAATTTTCTCTTATATTGCTATCTATATGTCTTCAGAACAACAAAAAAGGAAAAACTCTTGGTTAAGTAACTTCGGTTTTCCTGTTTTTATACCTCTATAGCTTGATCTTCTGTTTTTCTATGCAGAATATTGATGAGTGTCAAATATCACTATTTAAAATCTGGCAAAGTCTGATAAATAAAATGATTAACATATTTTTCCTTCCTTTCTTGTGCTGAGAATGGAATCCATGGTCTCCTTCATGTACTATTTAAAATGGTAAAGTCTGATAAATAAAATGATTAACATATTTTTCCTTCCTTTCTTGTGCTGAGAATGGAATCCATGGTCTCCTTCATGTTAGGCAAGGGCTCTACCACCAGCTATACTCCTGGCCTGAATAGATATTCAGAGAGAATGTAATTAATTAATTAAATTTATATTAGATAAAATGTAGTCCTTGTGTTAGAGATTCTGAGATAGATTGTCTCCATAATTACTTTGTTTGTGCACTGCAACACAAGAGAAAGGCAGATACAGAAACACAGAATGCTTCTTTAAGGGCAAATATTTCTAGTATCTCTAAACACAGTGCTGTTCCTTTAAATTCTATAACTTTTTTCCAAAATACCTCAAGAGTATTTTTCTATAATATTCATAAATAGTTGAAGAGCAGAAAGAGAGCTCCATAAATTTATAAAAAGCATACTACCAAAGATTTTAAATTAGGAAAAACATAAACTCATACAGGACAGAGTAAAACTAAGATTCTGAAACATTCAGAAGTTCTATATGACAAAGAATTTCTGACTTATTAGAATAAATATTTGCTGAAAGTGGATCATTGCAATTTTAGGTATAATACTTTAAAAAGAATACATTTTGCCATAGAGTATAATAATGCCTGAAGATTTTCTGCATCAATGATGAAGTAGACTTTATTTATATCTGATAAACTCAGAAGCTTTATATCTCAGAAAAATTGGTAAGCAATAGAATATGGAAGTACTCATACGGCAGGAAAATAGAGATGCCTTTTAAGGAAATCATTTTATAAATAATCTAAAATAAGGGCCAAATTTCTAATAGTTACCTCATGTCTCTTATAAACCCATATGAGCTTGGAAGACTAAAAGGAAAATGAATGAATCTGCAAAAACCATATTTATAAAATCTACCCATATCTAAGAAAACTGAAAGACAGGCAAAACCCAAAACAGCATTGCAGATGCTTGTAAATGAGCTCATTTATTTTAACTACTAGTTGTCAATACAGCAAAACTCTGAAACTCTGCAAAAAGAAAGCTACTGGGATGTCCTCTCCTGCAGGCACTCATGCTGTGCTTTTCTCTGGTGCTTCCCCTTCTAGAGGTCATGTCAGGTGGTCGTCATCACAGCTTGTCTGGTCGACCACCACTGCTGATCTTGAGTCTGCTCAAGTCAGCCCACAGATGGCCTCCTTTGCTGCCAATATGAACTGAGTTACTCAGAGAAAAACAATAATTTTTGTAAGAATATAGCTTGCAATTAACAGTATAGAATCCACTAGCAAACGGTTATAATTATTCAACCAGATTCATGATAAAATGTAAAAAAGTGCCAAATGTTTTGGCCAGTTAGAAATGCTTCTGAATATTGAGGTATTTGTTCTCACGGTTACTTCATGGCTTGATTAATTTTTATTTTTATCTAGGATATACTAGGCCACAGTAACTAAATGTTGAATTGCATATTAAGCTTCAATCTCTGGCTCTACATTTTGGCAACAAATTATATCTTATATCCCATAATTTTCAATTACTAAGAAAACTTGACATACATTTGCAAACTCCCACTATGAATGTTTCCTTTTGGCATTTTGTTTGCTTCATATTCATTAAACAGTTTATTTTTAAAAATAATAAAATAGCGTGGAGGTACTATTAACACGTGACCACAAAACAATGTATCAGGGAATGTGAGTAATGAGATGAATCAGGATTAGAAGCTGTTCAAAGACATTTCTTTGGATGTCGTAAAAACTATAGATACCTACCCGTCACTGTAAGAAACATATTGGCCGCAACAAGACCAACTGAATTCTGAGCCACACATTGGTATCTCCCTTGGTCCACTTGCCCTGCGTCATAAATGGTCAGCATGCCTCCACTGTCGATGTGGAATTTACCACTCTCGGTGACCTGGCCACCCGCCTACAGTGCAAAAAGGGGTTGTCACTGGAGGACAGCTGCATTCCCTCAAACAACAAATATTTATGCTTTGCTTTATTTACCTTCACCTGTTCAACAAGTATCTGCTAAGCACCTGCCATGAATATAATGGAAAGAAGAAAGGAAAAGACTTTCCAGGAAGTGTGATTTGTCTCTCTCCCTAATTAAAATAAATACGATACCCAAAAGTTCAGTCCCATTGTTATTTAATATGATTTTTTGAAATGCCCACACCAATGGATAAATATGCTCCATTTATTTATATCCTTTTTATTTCTAAAAGTGGATGTGTTGGATCTATTTCTGTTAAATGTATTTCTGTTGAAATAAAAACAAAATTTAAAATGCTCACAAAAATCCACCACCTAAAAACATCAGTGTTTTCTTATTGTTGACTTCCTTCACTTTGTGGTATATAATCACACGTTTTGTGTAGCTGCAGTGATATATAGTAACCAGGTTAACTATAAATATTCCTTAAGAAGATAAAAATAACTACATCTTATATGAACTGCTATAAAACACATCTGCTTATGATTAGAAAAGATTTATGTGCATTGTCATTGTTGTGGTGTTACTTTTAAAAGGGAAAGAAATAACCATTAGAAACTGCAGTTGGAGAAAAGTAGGGATAGAGCTGTCATGTCTTGTCCATCTCCAAAGTCTTGGAGAGAACTTAGGATGGGAGAGATTTTTTCAAAAGAATTCACACTCCAGTGACAGCAAGTAGGCTACAGGATTACCATAATGGTTACAGTGGCAAGAAGGTTTCATAGATCTTCAGATTCTCACAGCTGTCTTTGGCCAGGACTAGGAAGAAGTCCAAGTTCATGGACAGTTGTCCTCAGGATAGGAAGTGATATAAAGTAGCAGGGACCTAGCTGATGGATGGGCAGCCTAAAAGATACCAGACATGAGACTCCAATGTGACGACTAGGACAAGCAGCGCCCAGTGGGTCTTTCACTCAGCACCAGCGCCACCACCCCTTCCTCTTGGTGAATCCCACTGCATCTTATCTCCAGAGTTGCCCCTTTTCCTTCCTTTCTATAACTATAGCTACCTGGTTTTGCTTAGAATCTGAATAATCAGATAGCTTTCCAATAAATCCTTTATCTGTTTATGTTAGGTAGTTTCTGTTGCTTGGGACACAGGTATCCTAATCCACTCCTTCCCCAAATGTAAGAATTAAAGAAGATTGTTGTGGAGATAAAAATGAGATAACATAGGCAAAGTTTCTAGAGGGTTGTCAGCACCCAATCAGTTTGTGATTAGAAGTCACCTGTTAGGAAAAACACCCTGAGATGCTGTGCTTAAATGATGAATCATTTGGTAGAGTATTAAATAAGCCTTTAGATATAGACCAAAATTTGAGTCCTCACACTTTCCGTTTAGCATAAAATATTTGAATATATGGGATTAAACTGTAAAAAGTGTTTATAAACCGAGTATGAAGGTGTGTACTGATAGTTCCAGCTATCAAGAGGCTGAATAGGAGGAACGCTTGAGCCCAGGAGTTAGTTCAAGGGCAGGCTGGGCAGCATACTAAGACTCTTGTCTCAAAAAAAGAAAAGTCTATGGAAAATGTTCAGACAATATGAGAGGACAGAAAGTGAAAGACTCAACTTGGAGACCACAGAACTCCTTTACGGAGAACCACATAAAGTGTTCAGCTGTAAAAGGTGTGAGCCTCCACAAGTACAAAGCCTTGTTGCTATATGGTAACAACAAAAATAATCCACTGGTTTTAGGAAACTCAAAAACCTTTTACAAATTTTACACTTTATAACATTTTCCATAAATAGTGTCTTTCAAGTGTGTATAGTAGGTTCATTGATTTTTAAGAATCCTGGAATCTGAGACCAATCATTTCATTTTGGTCAAAAGCCTAAAATGGAAGAAGCAATTGAGTTGAAAGACTATGCCTCAAAAAATCAAAGGAAGTGAACTATCTAAATAAAGAGCTATTATTTCTTTAAAGCCATTCAAGTTTTGAACATTTAAAAGTACTTTTTTATGTCCCTTCAACTCCCAGCTTTTTATTCCATTCTTGTTTCAGCTAATGACCTACTTTTAATTCATTTCTGAGTTATTAATTTATGAAAGTTTCTCACTAGCACTAAAATTTTTAGTTTATATATGGCAGTTTCCTTTTAGATGGATTTAGTTATGCTTATGAAATTCTTATTATCAAGCAAATGAGATAGGATAAACTGTATCAAAGCCCTGAGCCAAAATCAGATACCTAAAAAAAAAAAATTATAAAAGGAAGATGAAGTACTAGGAAATAAACTTACTGTGACATAAAAAGTATTACTTGCTAGCAAAAATCACAACAGCAATAAATCAATATGAAAATCATTATCTCAGTTTCAGTGGGTCACTACACCTGTTGATGTTTTTAATATTACTGTAGTCTTAGTTGAGCGCTTATCTTATTCCATGCAATTATGGGCCAAGGCTCTCCTCAAGCATGACATGAAATGCTTACATTCTTTTCAGCAGCCACGGTGGTGTCCTGTGGAAGTTGAGTGAACACTGGCAGGGCAGTGCACATGAACCAAAACGACATTGTGTCAGTTTCATTCTTGTCAATACCTGCCAGCCTCATCAAACAGTATAAATTTGAATGCTGTATTGGTTGGCCTCACTAGCTTTAAAAAGTGGATTACTTGAATATCTGAATAAATAAACACCAAGCCTAGGCAGGTGATAATTAGGGCAAATAAAGAAAGAGAAATATACACATACTTTAGTCAGATTTGTAATATTTTATTTCTGCATCTGTAGCTACAAGGATTTTCATTACTTTTTCTCAGCATCTTTTGGTAAATCTGAAATGAATCTACACGGTAACATCAAAAATTTACTTCTGGCTGTGATTGAAATATTGCATTTTAAGTGAGAACCCTGTTTCTTAAAAAAATACAAACTATTACAACTCACCTAATATGAAATAGCTAACTATACTATCTCTATAACAAGGAAATTGGTTTATAACCCTTAAGCCCCTCCCCCCAAAAAAAGACATCTCCAGGAAAGAACTAAAATCATTTTACTGTAGAATACTACTCAAAGTTTTTCTAAATATATCAATTCTGTTCAATCCCTTCCTTTAAAAAAAGTAGAGCGATAGGAAATACTTCCTGACTTATTTCAGGAGCCAAGTCCTAACAAAACCAGATGAAGAAAATAGCAAAAAGAAAGGAAAAGAACTACAGACCAGTATCTCCTCTGAACACATACAAAAAATCATCCACAAGGGTCTGTTAAATAGAATTCAGTATCAAGTGATCCACAAGGTTCATTCCTGAGATGCAAACCTGGCTCAATATTTGAAAATTAGTCCATATAATCTGCCAATTTAACAGGTAAAGAAGAAAAATAACATAATAGTCAATACATAAAACAGGATTGACTCTATTCATCACTCACTTATGATTACCAAAAAAAAAAAAACCCTTGGGAGGTAAAAAAAATATGATGAATATATACATAATATGATACTATATAATAACATAATATGATATACATATAATCATATATGTGATATATAAATATGTATGTATATATATGTATATATTTCTATAATATATGCATGTATATGTGTGTATATGCATATATATAATATATGTATATATGTATATGTATTTTTATATATTATACTTATATATATAAACTCTCCATAATAAATATATTTAATACATACAATAAACATGAACCATAAAAATAAAAAATTTAAGAAACAAAAGTTTTAATAAAACTTTCAGAAAATAGAAACAGGAGAACCTAAACAACTGAAAAAACATATACAAAAACCAATAGTAACCAAACAGATGCTTCCACATAGACAGGAACTAAGGCATAAATGTGTGCTCTCTTCACTCTTGACTCAAATTAGAGCTTGCAAGTCCTCCCACTGTAATATGGCAAGGAAAGGGCACAAAAATCAAATAGGCTGGACAAGAAGAAATGAAACTGTCCCTTCTTATCAGTAACATTATTGTTCATAAAGAAAATGCTAAGAAATCTTCAAAGTACTTCAAAGTCAGTTTGATGAGATAATAATACAATATAAACATAAAACAAATTATACTTGTATATTCCATCAATGAACACATAAATGCAGAAATTTTGCAAAAACGAGTTTCAATTGCTCAAAAATATGAAACACCTAGGGATATAGATAAGCTAGAAGCACAGAACTTATTTGCTCATGACTACAAGATGTTGACAGAAGAAATCAAGGACACTCTAAATAATGAATAGGTATGTATTTATATATTCATAGATTAAAAGTCTCAAGATATTAAAAATGTAATTTCTTCACAAATTAATATATTATACAAGTTTAATGAAATTTCTGTGCAAATCCTACCAAGATCTTTTTTTGTACGTATCAACAAGATAGTCTAAAATGTATTTGCAAATGTGAAAGAGCTGGAATACCTGAAAATTTTTGTCAAAGAAGAAAGTGAGGAGAATCAGGCTACTAGATATTAAGATTGACTATGTAACTATGGCTATCGAGACTTTTGTAACACTGGGAGTGGTGGCGCACCCTATAATCCTAGCACTGGGGGCTGAGGCAGGAAGATCAGTGTGAGTTAGAGACCAACCTGGGCTCCATAGTGAGTTCCAGGTCAGTCTCAACTACATAGTGAGTCCCTATCTCATAAAAGCAAACAAACAAACCAACAAAAAAGACTGTGGTATTGAGGAAAGAGTGGACAAAGATATATCCATCAATGGAACGGAGTAGGGGACACACTAACAGGCCCCACAAAAACACTCAGTTGATTTTGATGGGAGTGCAAGAGTAAATCAATGGAGGCCTTTCAACAAATGGTGCTGTAGCAATTGAATAATCACAGGCTGAAAAATCTTGACATGAGTCTCATATTTTATACAAAATTAACTCAAAATGAAGAATAAACTTGAACGTAAAATGTAGAACTATAAGACTTCAAAGAAACATATAGGAGAATATCTTTGAAATTTAAGCCCAAAGTGCTTCAACTTTGCATAAAAAATATACTTTAAAGAAAAAACATGACTAACTGGACTTCATTCTTGTTAAAATGTTTTTGTAGAGAAAATTCATGTTGAGAGCACTAAAAGACAAGTTACAGACAGAGGAAATATCTGTAACACAAAAATGCAACAAAGGGTTAGTATATAAAATAAATAAGCATAAAAATTCAACAGTCAAAAAATCAAACAGTTAAAACAGAAAATAGAGCAAAGTCATAGCATGGTACACAAAAGAATATAAGGATAGCATAGCAAATCAACACATAAGAAGGTACTTGCAGTCATTAGAGAAATGTAGATTAAAACCACAATGATATATATTGCATCCCTGTTATAATCAGGAAATAGAGGACGACCCTGCAGATGCCCAATGTGTAACTAACAGTTGGATGAAGCTTGTAATCTCTGCCTTCATTTTATGTCTTTCTCTTTTATTGCCTTAAAGTCTAGGTCAGATCCTGCTCATAGCAAGAATAGTCACTCAAATGTAAAGTCTGTCTAGAAAACGAGCAATATTGGTTCTATTAGCCCTAGGTTACCTGGCCTAGCTCATCCCCCTTGAAGTGCAGGGACACTAAGATAAGAATAAAGAAGGCATTTTCAAAATTTGCGGGGACATCCACTTGTCAGTTTTTCAAACTGATTCCAGGTGCCCTGGAGCAATGCATAGAAGTGCCTAGCTCTAAACCCAGAATCACTTTGGATTCATGGAAAAACAAACCACCCCATGATGGTGTCACACACACACACACACACACACACACACACACACACACACACACACACCAGTCATCTCTTGGGAACCAAATTTCCCCCTTAAGCCATAAGGTCTTCCTCAGAGCAATCTCACAGAACCAGTGCTGAGATAACCACGCACCAGACCACGGCATAATCAGTATGGTCTATCCTGCTGGCTAGGCAAATGCTGAAAAGTCATCTCTGTTCCCCTTTCTAGAAAACTCCAAAATTTCTTTCAGATCCTAGAAGACGGGAATTGTACCTCCTTATCCTCCCAGCATGATAATGTAGATTAAAAGTCCTTTCCTGCCCATCACCAGGGCTCTTCTGCTGGAATGTTGTTTTAGGACAAGTGGCTGCACTTGGTCTATGGGACCCAGGGACCACAGTTTTTACCCTTAACCTTCGGTAGTGCTATCAACATTGCTAAATCAAAAAAAGCAGGGACAACAAAATTCACTATAGAGAAACTGGTTTTTACTGGAGGTGAGAGAAAATTGTATAGTCATTCTGGAAAGAAAAAAGAAAAATTCCCTAAAATTTTAAACATGCAACTAACTACCAAACAACCATGAAATTACCCTCTTGGGCACTTATCACTGAGGATAAAAATCAAAATTCACATGAAAGCCTGTACATGAATGTTTGTAGGAGTTTTAATAATGATAAGCAAACTGCATGCAACCAGATGTCCTTCCTTCAACAGTGAATGATTAAGCAAACAGCTACACCATGAACTACTTCTCAGAAATAAAAAGAATGTACTGTTGCTACAAATGCAATCTGGATGAATCTCTAATTATGTCAAGTGAAAAAGCCCATCCCATAAGGCTACATGCTGAATGATTCTATTTATATAACATTTTTGAAATGACAAAATCATAGAAACAGAGAACAGGGTATTAGGAGTGGAGTCTGGAAATCTGGCAGGGAAGGATGTGGTCCTGTCAGGGCTCCTGCCAGTCACTTGACTCTGGGAGTCCTAGCAGTCTGGATTCACTGGCCTGCACCTACAGTCTAATTAACAAAGAGAAAAATGATGATGAAACACACTAAAGAATTTATTCATTATTTGGTCAAAAGGAGACCACTATTACCCTCTTCCTTTCCCAACCCACAACATCATTAGAATTTTATATTAGCATAACAAACGCTAAGAAATATGCATTGCTTATTAGAAGGCTGGTTTGCAAATGCAGTTTTATCAGCTTCCCTGGCATTGAGAAATGAGACAGTTTCTGTTCCATTAGATGGAGTCAGTAAGGAAAAAGAAAAAGCTTAAAAAGTACTTCTTTAATTTTTTTTAATTTAGAAGGATACTGTTACAGTTTTTTTTAAATTGAGTTTATTGGTACATTTTAGGTATACAGTACAGTTACACTCATCATTGGGATCTTGTACCTTTACATGACAGGTCTTGGTTCTCATTGTTTCCCATTGTCCCTGCCCTCCCTTCATCCCCTCCTCCCTTTCCTATTTACAAATACTTTATTTCCATTTTTTCATTTTCTCATACTTTTCTCTTTTCCCTTATTTCCTTTCCCCTAACTTTCCCACTTCCCCTACACCTTTAGCCCTTTTCTTCCTACTTCACATTGTCAATTATACCATTAGGATCTTATTTACAATTATACTTTTTCACACCAGATAAACTATTCAGTATTTACACATATGTAACATTTATTTCACTTAAGATTATGACCTCAGTATGCATCCATTTTCCTTTGAATGATTCTAATTTCTCATTCTTTATGGCTGAGTAGTATTCCATTTTATTTTTAAAAAAGACAACTCAGGATCTTTGGAGCTAGAATATTTTGTATCTTGACAAGTCAGTATCATTAGCCTGGTTATGATGCTGTACTATAAAGCTGTTAATTCTGCAGAAAGCTTAGGCAATGGTAGATGGGATTTTGCTGTGTTATTTCTTGTAATGGAATGTGATTTCATAATGATCAAAAAATAAATTTTTCATTAATATAAATCAATGACATGAACATTATAAGAAATAATAGTCAACAAACCTTAGATTAGTGACAAATAGGTGGGAGTTGACAGCAGAAAGATGAGGAATTGACGCAGTCTTTGAGAATATTTGTAACTTTTATCTGATCCATGGAGTGATGGATATAAGAAACTTCATGTCTTTGTTATACCTTTTTGTACTTTTGAAAAAACATAGTAACACGGGAAATTCTGTACTCCAGTGAAGTTTTAGTTCACATATATGGAAATTTTACATTTTACTCTTTTTATAATGTATCTGTCCCTTAGATTGCAGTTTACAGGTAACCAGCAGTACTCTGTGCACATCTCATGAAGATCTGGGTGACTGCTGTGCATGATGTGACTCCTGACTCCACAAGAACTCTGGCATCTAACACACCACATCAAAGCCTCCATTACCTGATTTCCTGTCTCCAGCCACTTTCGCTTCCTGTACAATATTTGCTCATGAACATGGTCTGCACCATCAGTTGAGTTATTTTGGAAATATCTAATATGACACTCTGAAGCAAAACCTCTCTATGTAGTGCCTTTTTATCTCATTTTGACTTCATGTAGACTCCTAAAGACCTCCTGTAGTCCTGTTAACCAATACCTTAATTCTTTCATTTTCTTTTGTTTTTTAGCTAATATGTTTCATCACTTCTCCCTGCCAAAATTTCTAAAGTAAAAATGGAGTGACTGCATCTTTGTCTGTCAGAGACTATATCCTTGTCACTTCAGATCATATTCAACAACAACAAAATTCAAGAATTTACAACTCTTGCAAATCATCTGTCACCTGTCAGAATGCTCTTCTATAAAATATCAGCATCTTCTACCCCACATAAAAAACAGAAGCCAACAGACTATACAGTCCTCATATTTTCCAGAGAGATAATACATTCTTAATCCCTTCTCCTAACTTCTTTTGGAAGAAAAATATCTTACTGCTAACTGCATTACTGGATTGGCAAATTTCACCCATCTTGCTACCTGACAGATTTTAAATCACTACTGCTCATCTCTTCCATCTTTTTGACCTCTCCTTCCCTTTAGAAAATACCTCAAAAACCAGGCTCATTCACTTTTCTTCCATGTCCTTGTCCCATATTCATTGCACTTTCTTACTAGCTTCCATTCGCAGAGAAATTTCTTGGGGAGAGAAAATATCTCTGCTCATCTATCTCTTTTGTCCCCTTTCTCCACAGCCCACTTCATTCAAATTTGGGTTTCCTTGACTGTATGAAACTTGAGAGTGCTTGAAATTGGATCCTTAAAATCAGAATCTAAGAAAAAAAGTTGTCTTTATTCAAAGCATTTTTTTTGACGTTTTTGACACATTCATTTACTTTGTTCTTAGAAGAGATAATTTTTTCCACTCTTGCTTTTCTTTACATACTTTTCTCTTTTCCCTTATTTCCTTTCCCCTAACTTTCCCACTTCCCCTACACCTTTAGCCCTTTTCTTCCTACTTCACATTGTCAATTATACCATTAGGATCTTATTTACAATTATACTTTTTCACACCAGATAAACTATTCAGTATTTACACATATGTAACATTTATTTCACTTAAGATTATGACCTCAGTATGCATCCATTTTCCTTTGAATGATTCTAATTTCTCATTCTTTATGGCTGAGTAGTATTCCATTTTATTTTTAAAAAAGACAACTCAGGATCTTTGGAGCTAGAATATTTTGTATCTTGACAAGTCAGTATCATTAGCCTGGTTATGATGCTGTACTATAAAGCTGTTAATTCTGCAGAAAGCTTAGGCAATGGTAGATGGGATTTTGCTGTGTTATTTCTTGTAATGGAATGTGATTTCATAATGATCAAAAAATAAATTTTTCATTAATATAAATCAATGACATGAACATTATAAGAAATAATAGTCAACAAACCTTAGATTAGTGACAAATAGGTGGGAGTTGACAGCAGAAAGATGAGGAATTGACGCAGTCTTTGAGAATATTTGTAACTTTTATCTGATCCATGGAGTGATGGATATAAGAAACTTCATGTCTTTGTTATACCTTTTTGTACTTTTGAAAAAACATAGTAACACGGGAAATTCTGTACTCCAGTGAAGTTTTAGTTCACATATATGGAAATTTTACATTTTACTCTTTTTATAATGTATCTGTCCCTTAGATTGCAGTTTACAGGTAACCAGCAGTACTCTGTGCACATCTCATGAAGATCTGGGTGACTGCTGTGCATGATGTGACTCCTGACTCCACAAGAACTCTGGCATCTAACACACCACATCAAAGCCTCCATTACCTGATTTCCTGTCTCCAGCCACTTTCGCTTCCTGTACAATATTTGCTCATGAACATGGTCTGCACCATCAGTTGAGTTATTTTGGAAATATCTAATATGACACTCTGAAGCAAAACCTCTCTATGTAGTGCCTTTTTATCTCATTTTGACTTCATGTAGACTCCTAAAGACCTCCTGTAGTCCTGTTAACCAATACCTTAATTCTTTCATTTTCTTTTGTTTTTTAGCTAATATGTTTCATCACTTCTCCCTGCCAAAATTTCTAAAGTAAAAATGGAGTGACTGCATCTTTGTCTGTCAGAGACTATATCCTTGTCACTTCAGATCATATTCAACAACAACAAAATTCAAGAATTTACAACTCTTGCAAATCATCTGTCACCTGTCAGAATGCTCTTCTATAAAATATCAGCATCTTCTACCCCACATAAAAAACAGAAGCCAACAGACTATACAGTCCTCATATTTTCCAGAGAGATAATACATTCTTAATCCCTTCTCCTAACTTCTTTTGGAAGAAAAATATCTTACTGCTAACTGCATTACTGGATTGGCAAATTTCACCCATCTTGCTACCTGACAGATTTTAAATCACTACTGCTCATCTCTTCCATCTTTTTGACCTCTCCTTCCCTTTAGAAAATACCTCAAAAACCAGGCTCATTCACTTTTCTTCCATGTCCTTGTCCCATATTCATTGCACTTTCTTACTAGCTTCCATTCGCAGAGAAATTTCTTGGGGAGAGAAAATATCTCTGCTCATCTATCTCTTTTGTCCCCTTTCTCCACAGCCCACTTCATTCAAATTTGGGTTTCCTTGACTGTATGAAACTTGAGAGTGCTTGAAATTGGATCCTTAAAATCAGAATCTAAGAAAAAAAGTTGTCTTTATTCAAAGCATTTTTTTTGACGTTTTTGACACATTCATTTACTTTGTTCTTAGAAGAGATAATTTTTTCCACTCTTGCTTTTCTTTGCCCAGTTGGCAATGCTGTAGGGTAGTGCTAGAAAATCTACAGGATGCATGTTATTTGTTTTTAAGACAAAAGATGTTAATACGTGAGATGTTTTTACTAAACTGAAACCTCGTATTCAGGTTTAATTGCAGTGTTGGCATGTTGCCATGAATAAGTGGGTTTGGGGTTGCAGCCTGGGTACTCCACTACTCCGTCTCTAAAAAATTCACCTCCATCCCTGAAGGTATCATTCACATTCACAGGTTTGTTGTTTTTTTCCTCTCTCTCTCTTCACATTCCAAGGTGGACTCATCCTTGGTCCTTTTCCCATCTGATGCAACTCACCACTTTAGTTCAAAAAACTGAAAGCCATGGACATTAAAGTTAGGTTCACACTCATAAATCAACAACCTCACAGACATCTACCTTAACTCCAAACAAACATAATAAATTTAATCTTCCCCTAACTTTGCTTGTTATCTTTTCCATTTCCTGATTGATTTTCCTTTTTTCTTTTATTAAATTCGGGGATTATTCACGTTTTATTGATTTTGTTAGTTCCACATGTCGCAAATATCTTCTGTTTCTGGCTTATGAAGTACGAATCTGAATTCTAATGTAAATGACTTTATCAATCTCTTCTTACAGACTCGACTTTCTCTAATATAGTTTACAAATTTTTCTATGCTACTATCATACAATTTTTATTTTTGTTCTAAAATAGTTAAATATCTGTTTAAATATTAAAATCATTTTTTAAAACCTGCCATTGATTTTCGGGCATAGAGTAAAGTAAGAATGCAATTCATGTTTTCCCTGTGGACAACCAGTTGCCCAGCATGAATTATTGAGGAGACTCTGTTTCGGTAATCATGAGCAAGGACATGGCTGTCACACACGGTTTTATTTACATGCCATTTGCCATCTGTCAATCCCTGTGCCAGTGGTATAGTGTGTATTCCTGATAGACATATAGCATCCTGCTATCTGGATCATCTTGTTTATTCTTAGATCTTTCTTCGGTATTTTAGAAACACCCTTTTGTCCTCCACAGAGAAACTATTCAAGATTTTGATTAGAATTGTACTGAGCTATAAATCAATCCTGGAAATACTAATGTCCCTACAACAGTGAGTCTTTTTTCTTCTATTTTTTTAAATGACATTTCATTCTTTTTCTATACCAGCCTTGCGCATCTTTTGGTAGATTTATCTTTAACTAGCACAATTTTCTTGTTATTTTAAGGAGTATCTTTTTGCTTTGTTTTGTTTTGTTTTTTGGGGTGTACTGGAGATTAAGCTTGGGTCCTTGTACTTGTGAGGCGGACTGCGGAACCACTGAGCTAAAGCCCCGGCCCCAGAAAGTATCTTTTTAAAAGAAAATGACACATTCCATTTGGTCCTGCCATATAGTTCTCATCATATTCAATAATCTTTCCTAATTCCTATTTATGATTATCTACTGATATTTGGGGGGTTATATATGAGAAAACTTCTGTCACATATAAATGATAAAAATGTACATATCCCTTCTAAATTCATGATATATTTGCCTTTTTTTGTTTTGTTTTGTTTTGGTTTGGTTTTAGTTTTTTGAGACAGGGTCTCACTATGTAGTTGAGACTGACTTGGAACTTACTGCGTAGCCCAGGCTGGTCTCAAACTCACAGCTATCCTCCTGCCTCAGCCTTCCAAGTGCTGGAAATACAGGCATGCGCCACCACGCCCAGCTTTGTTTTTTTTTTTTTGCCTTCTTGTATAGGCAGTACCTTCTCTTATAAAACTAAAGGGGAGGGAAGGAGAGCAAGGGGAAATATGGGAAGAATTAAAATGTGTTATGTACATGTACCAACTAGCCGTAATGAAACATTGTATATGGCAAACATGCACTAATAAAAATGTAAATTTAAAAAAGCTGAGTAAATGTAATCTTCTAATTTCAAAGGGAATCCTATAACATTTCATTGATAGGGAATCAATTTTGAGAAATATCTTTTCCTATTGCTTTTTCTACAAAAGGCATTTTTTGTAGAAAATATTTTAGTTATTTGTTTCTATATGGCTATAATTTTTTCTAAATAATGAATAGATGGCAAATTTATGAAATATTTTCCTGTATCTATTGAAATAATAATCATTGCTACATTCATCTAAGAATACAAATGGATTGTCAAAATAATAAATAATATTCTGTATAGGCATTCTTCAGCACTTTTTCCTCATGTCTTTATTAATTATAAATGGTATCTACTCATTTATTCCATGGAAGAGTTTGTATAAAGCTGGAGTGATTTGTATCTTAGCATGTTTACAGAAGTCATCTAAAAATTAACTGTCAGGTTTTCTTTTTTTTTTTTTACTTCTTTCTTACTTAACTTTTATTTAAACAATTAATGTGTTGGTTTTCTACTTTTATCTTTCTTTTTGAGACACGGTCTTGCTATGTATTTCAGGCTAAACTGAACTCACTATAAATCCTCGGCAGGCCTCAAACTCACAGCAATCCTTCTGCTTCAGCCTCCTGGGTACTGGGATTACAGACATGTGCCATGCCCAGATCTACTTCTCTCTTTTTTCTCACTTTATTCTATGTCATTTTCCCCATCTTTGTTATCAATTTTTTTTTAAATGTAGGGTTAATAGTTTTACCCACATATTAACCAACACTTCAACTCAGACAAAAATCTTACACTATTTAATTCCAATAACTATTTTCTCAACTAAATATTCCATTATTAGGAAGTGCTTAATTGTGTGATTTTATGCAATATTATACCTCAATGACTACCATTATTGTTACTGATCAGAGAAAATATTTTAATGTTACCTACATGTTCACCAATTTCTTTTTAACATGCATTTCTCTTTTGAATCTCATTCTTTCAAGACTTTTTTTTTTCTTCTAGATTAAGTACCTTTTAGAAGCTTTTAGAGTATTACTGTTTTTGAAAAACTATGTTTAACTGGAAATTTATTTACTTGGCCCTCATTCTTGGATAATCTGGTGGTTACATCAGATTTTGAAAATATGTTACTTAAATCATATTCTTGAAAAAATTTTAAACTTGAACAATATTAAATTTATAGTTATTTTTTAGAAAGTACTTCAAAAATTTGGATCCAAAATCTGTCTGGGATTGCCACTGATAGTGATATATATTTATTCAGCAATATATTAGTAATCCTGCTTAATATAAATTGCTTCTTCCCACTTTGAATGTGTTTTCTTACTTCTAGCTAATTACGAGCTAATAGTTGTCCAATTTGTCTATCTTCCATTTCTTCTATCCTCAGATATACAGTTGCTAATTAAAACCTCTACATGAATTAACTTTCTTGCATAATTTACACTTTCATTCTGGTTAATTCTTTTTCTTTAAGCATATCTAATTTACTATTTAACGTATTTAAATTTTTTATGTAGTTTTTTTATTTGAAGAACTCTTGAAAGTTAGGCTCTTTTTTATTATAAACTGAATCTTTATGGGTACATTTTAGATATACGATACAGTTATGTTCATCACTAGTTTCTTATACCTTTACATGATGTATCACTCTGGTTTCTCATCAAATTGCATAAATCTTGCCTTTTTTTACATGATGTATCTTGGTTAATACTTTTTCCCCATCCCCCTAGGCTACCTTCCCTGCCTTCACCCTTCCCTATTTACAAATACTTTGTTTGCTTTTTTTCTTTTCCCTTTTTTTTAACTTCCCTGTTTACCTTTCCTCTACCCCTCCCATTTGCCCATATCCTATAGACCTTTTTTTCCTATTACAAAATATCAATTATACATTTTGACATTTATTTATATCTTTAGTTTATCGCACCAGAGAAACTATACTGTATTTATACATATGTCCTATAAATTTCACTTGAGTATGTCCTCAATGTGCATTCCCTTAGCAATAAATGTCTCTATTTTCTTGTTCTTTATGGCTAAATAATACTCCATTTTATAAAAGAACCACATCTTCTTTATCCAGTTTCCATTTAAATGGAAAACACTAGGCTGTTTCCAAGTTTTAGCTATTACAAACTGTGCTGCTATAAACATGGGGGAGCATATATCACAGTGGTATGATTCTTTTAATTCTTTTGTGAAGATACCCAGTAGGGGAATGCCTGAGTTAAACGGGACTTCCAACCCTAGTTCTTTGAGGTATCTCCATATGGATTTCCACAGTGGTTGCACCAGTCTGCATGCCCAACAACAATGGAGAAGTGTTCCTTTCTCCTCACAGCCCCAACAGCATTTGTTATTGGTTGATTTCTTGATAGCAGCCATTCCTTCTAGGGTGAGCTAGAATCTCAGTTTTGTTTTCCTCTGCATCTCTCCAGTGACTAGTGATGTTGAACATTTTTTCATATATTTATTTGCTGCTTTTACTTCTTTATCTTTTCATTTCAGATACCCATTTTCTAAATGGATCTTTATATTTGTGTGGCCTGATTTTTTTTAGTTCTTTATATATTCTAGATAGTAGACCTTTGTCTGAGAAACAGCTGGTAAAAATTTTTCCCACATTTTAGGTTGTCTCTTAGCTCTGCTGGTAATTTCTCTTGTAGTAAACAAACTTTTTAAAAAAGATGAGATCTCAAGGGTAAATACTGAATAGTTTCTCTGGTGTGAAAAATTATAATAGTACATAAGATCCTAATGAGATAATTGACAGTGTGAAATAGGAAGAAAAGGACTAAAGTTGTAGGGAAAGTAGGAAGGGTAGGGGAAAGGTATTAAGCGAAAAGAAAAAAATATGAGAATGAAAAATGGAAATAAAGTGTTTGTAAATGGGGAGGGGAGGAGGGGGTGAAGGAAGGGCAGGGACAAGGGGAAAAAATGAGAATCAAGACCTATCATGTAAAGGTACAGGATCCCAATAAT